ACTTGTGTGGGCACCATGACCTGGGTGGGCACCATTACTTGGGTGGGCACCATGACCTGGGTGGGCACCACGACCTGGGTGGGCACCATGAATGGGCACCATGACCTGGGTAGGCACCATGACCTGGGTGGGCACCATGACTTAGGTGGGCACCACGACCTGGGTGGGCACCTTGACTTGGGTGGGCACCACGACTTGGATGGGCACCACGACCTGGGTGGGCACTATGAATGGGCACCATGACCTGGATGGGCACCATGACCTGGGTGGGCACCATGCCCTGGGTGGGCACCATGACTTGGGTGGGCACCACGACTTGGGTGGGCACCATGACCTGGGTGGGACCATGACCTGGGTGGGCACCATGACTTGGGTGGGCACTATGAATGGGCACCACGACTTGGGTGGGCACCATGACCTGGATGGGCACCATGACCTGGGTGAGCACTATGAATGGGCACCACGACTTGGGTGGGCACCATGACCTGGGTGGGCACCACGACTTGGGCTTTCCCCAGGTCTGGAGCCCAACCTGGGTTCACTGGGACAAACAGACCCCCCATTTCCCAGGGATGAGGACGTCCAGGTTGGATCTAGGTGATCTCTAAGGTCCCTTCCAACCCAAAACCTCACCCTGATCACCTGCTCCAAACACTAGCAGCTCCAAACCCACCCCATCAACCACCCTCTTGCATCCCCCTGGGAAACCAGCACAACCCTGACTCCTAAGTCCATAAGGGCTTGACTGTGCAGACCCCCCTGTCCCTGTCCCCTTCCCCAGATCCCCAGCCCTGTCCCCTACCCCATGACACCCCCCCCACCCCTTGTCCCCACCTCCTCAGCTCAGTCCAGGCTGTGCAGGGGGGACAAGTTTGCAGCTCGGGCTCCTTTGTCTGCCACGTCCCCAGGGGGGGTTGCAGCTGCTCCACGACTTGCTCCAAATTTCTTCATCTAATCAATTGGCCTCGGCTCAGCTGAGCTGCATCAAAGGGGGGATAATGAACGTGGGGGGAGGGAAACAACGAGAAGACTCGTCCAGGCTGCAGCAGGTCAGTAGTGGGGTGTTTGAAGGGACCTTTCTGGGGTGTCAGGGCTTCCTTTTTGGTTCCCTGCTCAGGGGTTTTTGTCCCTTGGGATGGGCTGTGTCCTCACTGTGGGTGTCCTGGCCCAGCTCTTCTCCCAGCCTCCCCAGAATGGTTTGGGTTGGAAGGGATCTTAAAGCTCATCTAGATCCAACCCCCCCTGCATGGGCAGGGACCCCCCCCAGCAGCCCAGGCTGCTCCAAGCCCCATCCAACCTGCCCTTCAA